GGATACCAATTGCACAAGGTCTTCCATGGACAACAGATGAGCCCGAGGTGAGGTGGATTTGTTAGAATAAGCCTACCTTGCTTGGTGTTTGACTGAAGAACACTCAAAATATTGGGAAATTGGTATTGATAACCCAACCAAGTATACCATGTTTGTTCTCAAGAGCTCATTTGCAGTTTGCTTTCTCCGTTTCAGCACCTTATTAAACCTCCCGTGAAAGAGACCACAATGCCAGTTGATCTGACGCTTCACAGCGACGTACGTGCAATGGAACGTGCTGAATTTGACCACCAGGTATATTGTTAAAGAAACTTTTGTTGTTCAACCAAAGAGCAAGTAACTTTTGTTGATGGATCTACACCTGGCTGTTTAAGCAGCTATTGTGAATTGTGATAGTACTAAGTCTTGTGTATTACCGAGGTAAATTGTTAAAGAAACTTTTGTTGTTCAACCAAAAAGAAAAACTTTTGTTGATGGATCTACACCAGGCTGTTTAAGCAGCTGTTGTGACAGTACTAAGTAGTTGTCACTCAATCAGTCACTGCGTTCATGTTAACTAACTGATCACAGAGGCATGCTGATGCCCTGTCACTCTCATGATTAGTAGTTGTTACTCAGCTACTCTGTAGATGTTAACTAACTGACTACAGAGGCAAGCTGATATGCCTGTTGCTCGCTCGCTTGATTGATGTAAGCCCTTCTTTGTTGTACTAATATTAGGTATCGGAGAAGCTAACTCTCATTGAGGAATACAAGATGGAAAGAGAGCGGCAGCAAAAGGTAAGTGCTGTGATTTTTTGTTGGTGGGTTCTTTGCATATAGAATAAGCTAATTTTGGTATTTAGCTACTGATGTAAAACGAGTTTAATTCCTGTAGTTAGCAGAGGAGGAAGAAATACGAAGATTACGAAAGGAGCTCGTTCCAAAAGCACAGCACATGCCTTACTTTGACAGACCCTTCATTCCCAGAAGGTAACAACGAGTCAACGATGTTTCACAAACCCCCGTTTTTAAATCAGTTTCTACAATTGGCATAAGAGGATATCAATCTGGTGCACCATTGACTTTGGTGGGGTGAATTCGATTCTGGTTTGATAAGGTCAACGAAGCATCCAACAGTCCCCAAAGAACCAAAGTTTCACTTACCTCAGCATAAGAAGATCAAGTGCAGCAGCTCATCTTGGAATGACATGAGCACTTTCACTTTCCAGCAATGAAGCAGTGACACATGCCTCAGCATAAGAACATCAAGTGCGTGTGACGAGCATAATGGAGTGAATATGGTGGCTTTGAGAGCTCGCGCTCTCTTTCCAACAATGAAGCAGTGACCCCCTCAGCCGCAGTACACCATTTGTGAAGATGATGAACAGAAGGAAATTGGTTTGAATAAATAATGACGAGTCGTTTAGCTTGTCCTTCTCTGTATTCTTTTATCATATTCCATTCCCCTTAAGCGGGAGAAAGTTGGTTCTCTAATTGTTTCGTTTGTCATGTGTATACGAAGCAACTAATTTGGTTGCGAATTTTGTTGACGCTTTAGTTCGTTTCTCCAAGCTGATAGTTGACGCTTTTAGTTCGTTTCTCGAAGCTGATATTTGGCAGTGAAAGACTGAGATTTTGAATGTTGGGGTAAAGACTGGGTGCTGTTTTCGGGTAATACATTGAATATATCTGCTTGTCAAATAAACATAGAGCTGGGTTTGGATTAAGGATTCAGCTCCCCTGTTTGGTTGTTGCACTTTTTGCTTTGTTCTTGTAGCTTCGGTTATAATAAAATTAAGGCAAAATACACTTCCATAGTCATAATTTTCACGTTTGTGACAAATATAGCCAGAATTTTGAATGTTGTATGACAAATCTACCCATTTTCGTTAAAAATTGTAACGGTGTTAGAAACGCCGTCAGTAACACTAACGAAATTCTGATGTGGCTGCCACCTCACCTCCATGTCAGCTCCACGTGGATTTAAGAAATTAAAAAATATAGGAAAAAAAAAACAATGGCTTTTGACCTTTTGTTCTCCACCTCATGCTGATGTGGCTGCCACCTCACATCTTCGCTTCCTCCTCCACCAGACCACCACGCCTTATCTTTCTCCTCCTCCCTCTCCACCCTCAACCACCTCTCAACCAGCAGTAATTATTTCCCTGTCCCCAGCATCTCTACCCAGCAACTCTTTCCATCTCCAACCTCCCTAATCCTCTCCATCCCTAAAATCACAAAAATCATCGCCGTGCTACCAAAAAAAAGAACGCCGCCATAGGTAAAGCTAAAGGAGGGAAGGGCACCCACCAGACAGCTACTCCCGTTCTCCGATTATATGCGCAGAAGAGATGAGGTATGGACTGAGAGATCGATTGCTTCTGGGTCGTGCACCATGGAGAAATCTTGGCTTTTCTCACCATCTCCTCTGTCTCGAACTCAACAGTCAAGGAAGAAAGGCCGATCTCGAGATTTAGGGATTTCTAGGCTTGGGATTTCTAGTGTTCTGTCCACATGCAACACCAACAACTATCAGATTCGGTGTCGATAAAGCGATCGAGGGATTGTGGGAACGGAAACGGAAACGGAAACCCTCTGTTCTCGCCGTAAGTTATCCTTCATACCAGTCAACCGATTCTCCAGTAGTGGGTTTCAATCAGGGGAGACGATCCACCTTTGGTGGTAGACAATGCAGGAAGAGGGTGAAGGATGAGTTTTTGTGTTAGTGAATTTTACAGATTTGCGGACGAGAATGGTCTGCCGAGTCGAAGAAAGTGGATTTTCGCGGAGGTGTGGTGGTTGTAGGAGACAGTGGTTTGGAAATTTTGGTTAGAGCTCTTTTGAAAGCTTCAAAACAAGATCGAGGAAAAGAAATGAGAAAGTGAAATTTTTGTTTGTTAGAGGAAAGATTGATTTGTTATTGATTTTGGAAACCTTCAAAACCGGCGAGAAGCCTAGTCGCCGCCGCGATTGTAGGGACAATAAATTGCCAAATCAACATTTTCCGTCAATCTAGTCATACCTTTAAAACTGACACAAATTTATCTCCTAATTTTTTGTCTAGCAAATAAGAGATTGTAACCAAATTGTTCACGGTTAATTTTTTGTACCAAATTTTTTGTACGAAACAAACGAATTCGTCGAAGTCCGAACACTCAAAAAAATCAGCCAGATCTAAGCGAGGGACGGGATACGGTGACAACCCCTAAAGGGGGTTGTCAGATTCACAACCCACTTTATAGCCCTTGGATACGCTCTCTCTGCTGTATCTTTCTTCTTTTTTTAAATTAACGGTTAAGATTAAAAGAATGATATTTTTGGAAGGGTAAAAATTTACCACACCCAATCATTCACCCTACCATATAAAAAGAACAAAAACCCTAACTCCTCCATCCTCTCTCTCTCTCTCTCCTCCCTCTCTCCCGTAGACATCACCGTCTCTCCTCCCCCTCTCTCCGCCGCCACAACCCTCCCACCACCGCAGCTCCCTCTTCCTCTCCCATGCCCACCGCCACCCCAGACCTCCGCCGCCCGGCTGTCCTCACCGCCCTGCCGCGCCTGCTGTCCCCGCCGCTCCTGCCGTGCCGCTGTCCCCTGCTGCGTCGCTGTCCTCCCCCTCTCTCCGCCCTGCCGCGCCTACCGTCGTGCCCCGCCACCATTTTTATGCCGCCGCTGCGAGGTCAAGACTCTTCCCTGCTTCCCTCTTTCCTCATCACTATTTTTTTCCAGATCTGATAGTCTCTACTGGTACCAATACCACTGGTAGCAGCGCTATTGGTACGCTACCACTACTCACTGGTACCAATACTAGTGGCTCCCCTATCATCTGTTAGACTGTTACCACTATCATCTGTTTTTTTTTGTTATTCTCTACTGGTACCGCTACCAATGCTAGTGGTAGCGCTACCAGTGCTAGTAGCGTTGTGTTATTCTCTACTGGTAGCGTTGTACTGGTAGTACCACTAGTACTGGTACATTTTTTACTCGCACCGCTAGTACTGGTACATTTTTTAACGTACTGGTAGTGTACCACTAGTACTGGTACATTTTTTACTCGTACCGCTAGTACTGGTACATTTTTTAACGTACTGGTAGCGTACCACTAGCACTGGTATATTAATTACCAGTAGACTAATAGATTGGTACACTTTTTAACGCATTGGTACATTTTTTCAGGTTATCGGAGGGAGTCTGCCGGAGAGAATTCGCCGGAGAAAAAGTTTGTCGGTCGATGCGGAGTGGCCGCTGGAGAAAGGAAGAGAGAGAGAGAAGATATAGATATTAATGTATAGGATTAGGGATGGCAATGGGTCGAGTTGGGCGCGGATAGTGCATATCCGTTACCCTACCCAATATAGTTCGGGTTTTACCCATACCCGTACCCACACGAGAAACGGGTAGAAAATCAAAACCATGCCCATACCCGTTCGGGTTTCGGGTATCCACGGTTATCCATGGGTAATAATTTCTCCTTATAATTCCAACCAATATGTTAACATTCACACGTATACTCACATTACGTAAGAGGAAAAGTACGACAATAATTCACTAGAATGACGAAAATTAATTAAAACAACATAACTTCATGAAAATATTATATTTATATGCTAAATATAAAATATTCTAGAGAAACATAATGATTATTTCTAGACAAAATACATATGCATGTGTATAATCGGGCGGGTTCGGGTTGGATAGTGAGATAACCATGCCCACCCATTACCGGCAATATTCGGGTTCGGGTTTTACCCGTACCCACGAAAAATGCTTCGGGTTCGGGTTTTACCCTACCCGATTAGGTCGGATTCGGGTGGATATCCACGGTTACGGATATTTTTGCCATCCCTATTAATAGGATTTAAATTTCAAAAAAAAAAATTGTATTTAATATGGATTTTTAATTTCCAATATAATTAATACAAAAGAGGTAACTAATATATTCCTTTTTTTCATACCCAAAATACCCTTGGTTGTGAATCTGACAACCCCTTAGGGGTTGTCACCGTATCCCGTCCCTCGCTACTAAGCGATTTATAAAATATAAATCCTAGACATACTGAACGGCTAACCACCACAGTCCACAGTTAAAAAGCCCAATTCAACTGTCCTGCGGCCCAATTAGAAGGCCAATTAAACACGAAGGCAGAGTCCGACAAACAGAAAGGAAGCCGAAAGACAAATTCCCTTGAAGCGAAGAAATCTTTTTTTTGATAGAATAAATTGAATCAAGGAAGAGCAACCGGAGAAGGAGAGTGAGAGTTCAGCGACAGAGAAACAGGGAGCGGCAGCCATGGAGGGTAGCATTAGCAACAGCGGCAGCAACGAGGACTTCGCAGTGGGTTGCATGCTCTCCATCAAAACCACTTTAGGCGACGAATTCGACGGCCAAGTCATCACCTTCGACCGCCCTTCCAACATCCTCGTCCTTCATATCCTTCTCTCCCAACTATCCTTCATTTCCCATTCTGTCTTTCCTTTCTCGCGTATGCTGAGAATGGGTTGAAACCTTCTCTACTCTTGATTCCTTAACTGTGTTGTTTTGATTCTCACAAGAGGGATCCAAACCTGGGCCGAGGAGGAACATACGGTTCCTGAAGACGAATTACATCAAGGAGTTCTCTTTTTTAGGTCAATCGGAAGACCCACTTGACATCAAGAAGTGTTATATCGATCTCCAGAGCCTCCAGGATCGCGAGGAACTAGCGTTGAGGTAAATTCAATTTTTTTGGGTTTGCTTTGTTTGGTTTAGGGATTTTGATGGCTCTTCCCATTGATTTTCCTGTTTTCTTTTTTCATATGATTTTTGCAGGCAAGCTGAAGCAGATGCCGAGAGAATTGGAGTTGGTGTCACTACTGAGGCCCAGGGTATCTTTGACGCCTTGTCTAAGACGTATGCTCATATTCCTCACTCCCATTTTGATTGTGGTCGTGCAACTGTCATGAATCTACTATTGGACTTGAATTTCTCAATGAGAATCAGCTGGTTCCTGATATTGGATGTATGCTAGTTCTCTTCGTGTGTCCTGTTCATTTTAATCTCTTGATGAATGATGTCCAGTTTGGGGTTGAATTAGGGAGTGACTTAGACTGTAGGGAAGTCATTCGAATTGTAGTGTTGATGTTTTCTGATTTGAGATGACTTATTCAGTACTCAGATGAACTTCGATACTAGTATCCCAGGGTGGTGCTAAGTACCGTTTACTAGTAATCTTCAGAGATCTGTACTTGTTCTCTTCACGTATGCACTTGGTTTATAGGTTTCGTGTAATCGTGTTGTGCTTGTCTTGTTTGAATTAGCTTCTAAATGGTTGTGTTTTGCCTTGGCTTACTGTCAAAATTCTGTTCAAGACTCGAAGATGCTTCCTTTCTCTTTTTTAAATATCGCTTTCTTAACTCATAAGGGTTCTTTCTGTAGAAAATGATTAGCTTTACTGCTGATTCTTATGCAAATTAAACCAGGCTTCCAGTTCGCTGGGACAAGACCTCTATAGTTGTTATGAATGAAGTGCGAGTCAGTAGCCCTTATCTTCCTGAAAATGTTATTGGAGGAACTCCTGCTGCTAACGACCGGGTGAAAAAAGTGGTAATAGTCTCAGGATCAGACTTTTGTTTTTCACATTGTTTGCAGATTATTTACTTAGATTACCTTTGTTATTGTTTCAGCTTGAGCTGGAGAGGAGAAGGTTGCAAACTCGCCCGTGAAGATCAAATTTTTGGGATCCTGTGCAATGTCTTCGAAAGGCTGCCTAGTTGGGCAAAGAAATGCGGTGTGGCTCGTTGCTACACTCTGTGTGAGCAAAGCATGTTTCAGTAACCTCCCTAACCGTAGCTCATTTTGCATTTCAATCATACTGCTGAAGCAACTGGGGATTTGTCATAGCTGAGTTTCTCATAACATTTTTAGTTGGTCTTCTTTCGGTGCCCTCTTGAGAGGTTCTATTGTGTATGATTTTCAAACTGCTGAGGGGTTGCAGCTCTTTCTTTGGCGGAGTTGGATTGATATCATAGGCACAAGAAATAAATGTCTGGTTCTTACATTCTCTTGGTGTCGGATAATCTCGTTGAGTTGGTTTGAGGCTTGAGCATGCATTGCTTGGCCTTGGCGCCTGGCGGAATGAGATGTTGGTTCCAGTTTGCTCCATCCTTCTTCATGGTTTTAGATCTCAGGATTATCAGCACCTTTATGAGATTATGAAGTTCCCTAAGTTACACCTCTAATTCATTGGCTGCTTATTATCCCACAAGAGTAATAATTGAAGCATCCATCAAAGAAATCAAGAACACAGACTGTGATGGCTCTTCTCCATAAAAAAAAAAATCTCTTTAGCTTTGAAAGTTGCAAAGAATCGGAATTCTGTTTGGAAGTCATTTCATTATTTCGTAGAAGACTCCATTTGATTATATAATACTAGAACTTAGTGTCCGCGCTTCGCGCAGGGTCATTGGATTGTGTATAGGGTCAAGTGATGTAGATGTGCTCTAATGTGGTAGAAGATTTCTGTATTTGAGGTGTTGTTTCTGGAATATATCGTTGAGAACGTTGCAAGTAACTTATAAGTGAAAAAGTATTGTCTCAAATGTAGCATGCAACTGCAAGCATCATGTTCTCTAATCTTGGCATGACCACTTTTAACTCTTGTCGACGAGGAGAAGAATGATGATTTAGAAAGTGGAGAATAAGGAGTCAATACGCCCAACTTGTGGATGTTGGGATCAAAAGAGAATGGAGTGATGAGAAGAAGCTTGTGGGTTTCTCGTTATTAGATAGTGATAGTGATAGAAACACGTTTTCGTGTTTCCATCATAATTATCATTATTATTATTATTAGGATATTTGCAAATAAGGATAGTAGTCTTTTAGTAGAATTAGGTTTATTATTAGGTTTTCATATCTTTCTTATAAATATGTAATTTGGTTTCATCATCAATCAAGCAAGAACAATTATTCAGAACAGTATCTCTCCCAAAACCCTAATCCTCTATCTCCTAATTTCTCGTTCTCTAGCCCTCTAAAGCTTCGGCCGATTCTATCTTCTATTCTTCTTCTTCCTCTAATTCCCAATCTTAATTCCTATTTCTATCTTCCAATCCCCAATTCTGTTCTTCCCCAATTCCGTCCCCAAATCCCTAAATTCTCAATCACTCCTCACAATCGATAGAACCCTAGAAATAGAGTTCTATCATTTGGTATCAGAGCCTGGTTGCGAATCTGAGTTCATCACAACTCTCAACCGGGGACGAGTTCTGTCACCTGTTCCATAAGATGCAGGAGAGAACCGAGACCTTCAATGAAAGACAAGAGGCATGTCGGCAGCAGTTGAAGGCAAATCTCCAAGCTATACATGATAGATTGCAAATCAACACTATCACCCTTGTCAACGAAGCTAGATGTACGGTGAGGAAGTCAACGCCGGATGGCTTGGCGAACTGGAGGTACCGGAGGAAGAAACGGAGGGCAGACGAGGAACATGGAGGCAAGGAAGCACCCTCGTCATTTGTGTCGACGGTCGAGATCCAGAGGGCCAATTTGTCGGGAAACCAATTGACGGCCCCCTTCGAGACCGAACGACGACACGAAGCAGGGAGGACAACGCCGCACCGCTGGAGCGACTCGTCGGGGTCACGAATCGTGCGACTGGTGTGCTCGGTGACTCCTTCCTATGGGAAGACGACGAAAGGGAAGACGGAGAAGGAGACCGGGGCGACAGCTCTGGTCGAGAGAGCCGTTGAGGCTCCGATCCGACGGGGAGTGAGACAGCAACCAGGTATGTCACGCGTTCGCTGGGAGGAGGGTTCGTCGCCGCGGATGGGGTGGAGAGCGACGGCGGAGGCGAGCGCGCATCCTAACCGCCGTCGGGCGGTCTGTTCGTCGCCAGGAAGGAAGTTGGCGGAGAGCTGCCGAATTAGATCGCCGGTGTCGCAGATCTTGCCAGCGCCGCCAGGCTCCTTAGTTGCTCCATTCGCATCAACCGGGCTCAAGAAAGAGGCGGAATCTGGCTCGCCGTCTAATCGCTGGGAAAAATCGTCGGCGCCACAAAACGTGCAGGGGTCGCTACGATCATCGACTTCCCTCGTCGGAACGGCCGGCAAGAAGAAGGTGGAGGATGATGTCGGCGTCGATCAACGACGAGAAGTTGGCGTTTCACCAACCGAGACCGGTTTCCGAAGAAGCAGAGTCAGAGACTCGGCCGGACGCACGCGACTCTCTATGTGGTCTGCTGGCACTGGCAGGGTCGCCGCCGGGAGAAGAGTCGCCGGAGAGAGCGCTGCTGGAGAAGGAAGGCGGCGTTGTCTCGGAGCCGGGCCGTTGGGGAAACAGATCGGCGGTGAGGGTCAAACGACGACAACGTCGCGGGCAAAAGAGGAAGTTGGCGGCGGCTTCCATCCTCTCGCCAAGCCTAGGTGGCCAACCCTAGACAACTGTTTGGGCCGCATGGCTGACCGGGCCCAAAATCCGAATGGGCCACGAAGCGTGGACCGACCCGAGAAGGAAAGGACGGATCGCAAGTGGGTTCGACCGGGTCTTGGGTCGCACAAAGGCGGTCTGACCGAGTGCCTTCTTTATGGTATTGGGCCGGACCCAGTTGTGGAGATGGAGACTACTGGGCTCAGTCTGGGCCCGACAGATCAATTGAGCAAACAGAGATTTAGAGTGAAATGGGCCGAGCAAGAGATTGGGCCGAAGCTTGAAATGGACCAGATGCCATGGTCCAAATTTGAGGAAGTGGGGCCTCGTTTGCAGACTTCAATTGGGCTTCAACTGGGTTGTTTAGTTGAATCTCTTTATTTTGGTATGGGCTTAGAAGAGGATAAAGATGGGTTCATGGGCTTAGATGATGGGCTCCAAGAAGAGGAACTCTATGATTCTTACTTTGTAGAGTTTGAGGAGGATAAAGGGTCATTTGGCCATGATTGCGACACGAGCTACGTGGGTAGAGAAGAAGCAATGGGAGTCGAGGTGGCTGGTGTGGGATTCGTTCAAGTAGTCGAGCACAATTGGAAGAAAAGGAAGCGTAAGAAATGGAGGAGTCGACCGCGAATTGTGCGAGAAGAAAGGGAAGAGGGGGTCGAGTTGATCAACCTTGAGGGCAAGGTTGGTCTCAAGGGGGAGGAGATGATAGAAACACGTTTTCGTGTTTCCATCATAATTATCATTATTATTATTATTAGGATATTTGCAAATAAGGATAGTAGTCTTTTAGTAGAATTAGGTTTATTATTAGGTTTTCATATCTTTCCTATAAATATGTAATTTGGTTTCATCATCAATCAAGCAAGAACAATTATTCAGAACAGTATCTCTCCCAAAACCCTAATCCTCTATCTCCTAATTTCTCGTTCTCTAGCCCTCTAAAGCTTCGGCCGATTCTATCTTCTATTCTTCTTCTTCCTCTAATTCCCAATCTTAATTCCTATTTCTATCTTCCAATCCCCAATTCTGTTCTTCCCCAATTCCGTCCCCAAATCCCTAAATTCTCAATCACTCCTCACAATCGATAGAACCCTAGAAATAGAGTTCTATCAGATAGCCCAAGAACCGATTCGATAGCTGTAAGAGTTGCCCTAAACGCCGACGACAATCAATAAGGCATAGGACACGTTGAAGGGATGGAGTGACAATGAGGTTATGAGATCATGGTTACTAGCCGTTGGACGTCCACGACGATGGTTGATCAAAGGGAATGAACAATGACGAGAAGCACATTTATAATCTAGAGTCACGATTTATAATTCCAAATAGAATTAAGGATCGAAAGACGCATTTAAGGTTGTTTGAGATGGATTTGTTTTGGGGAAAGTAACTATGTTTTTTCTTCTTCCCATGGTCTACTAGTTGCACTTAAGTACACCTCCTATTGTCTAATCGTGCCTCACAACGCTTAATCTTGATTAGACACCGCCTAGCTATGCCTCAACATCATGAATATTTGCTGCATTAGGCCTAGGTGAGGCGTTTTGTTATCCTCTAGAGCCTAAGTGTGTTTAGGCGTGAGTAGAACTACTCATTCTTGAACCATGCTTAATACAAGTCCAACATGTAGATTATAAGAAAAAGGTTTTAGTGATAAGAAGTCGTGTAAAGTTGCTTCCTTTACTTAAGAGGATTGTTTAGATGTGGATTTCTTGTGCATGATTTTGCCACAATCCCACATTCTCTTAGATTTTGCAAAAACAAGGCATTTAGGAAGGCATACAAAAATGAAGGATATTGTTCATGAGGGATATAAAACCCCACAAGTATGAATTTAAAAATAACCGATGAGGGTAAGCTATTTTGAACCACAGAGATGTAGAGCTCTGACTGCCAAAAATACATGTCCGTTCGAACCACATACAACTAAGACATATGAACATCCAGAGTCTAGAAATACATCAAAATTGATCACTAGGAAGTCATCAAGAGGGGCATCTAGAGAGTTGGAGACGAAGAGGGATGAAGAGATTAAGGGTTTGAGGAAAAAAGAGAGGAAAAAAAAAACTTCACAAACTTGAAAAGAAAATTGACGAGCAATATAACATGCATGTGGTTGAGTAGGGGTGTTCAAGCGGAGTGATTACCGTTTAATCTGGTAGTATTTGGATAATTTGTTTTGGTTAATTTAGATAATTAATTTGGCTTGGTCAATTTTTTTGGCTTGTTTGTTTAGGTGGTTTGGTTTGGTTTCAGACACTCCTAACCAATCAAACCAAATTAATCAATTAAGTAATTAGTCATATATCTAATATATTATATACACATACTTAATACTTTGCATAACCACTGAAAAGTCACACGTTCCTTCCTTTTAGGCTCATAAGAAAATAAAGCACAATATTGTTCTTATACTATATATTTGTATTTGTGGAGTGTAAACCATAACATATGGACGCCTAATTAGATAACACCAAGGTTGTCCCGGACCCGGTCGAGCTAGTGGGTCAAGGGTTAATGGGTCACCCGGTTTAGCTCGTTTTAGCCCGAAAATATGAAAAGAGTCATTATATTGTACTTTACTTGATAAATTATATCAAATGTCATCTAACATATGAGTAATAACATATAACATTACACCAAAGTAACATGTCGTACTTAGATCCAACATATAGTGAAAATTCACACACGCTTATATAACATCAATATTCAAATTTTCAACTAAAGATTCCAAAGATTGAGTTAGGCGAAAAGAAAAATCGGAAAATAGACGCATTTCGCAAACTTAAAAAAAACGACATAATTTGACCTCCAACTCGATACCTTATAGCGGGCAACCCGACGGGTGCGTACGACCCGTTTTTCTCATCGGGTCAGGGTCAAAGTGGGTCAACCCGCGGGTTGACAACCTTGGATAACACTCATACATTATATTGAATGAAAACTTGAAAGAAATGTATTGTTCAACCTATAATAATTGCTAAGAGACCAAGTCAATTCACACAAACACAACAATTCATTAACCCCATACCATTGCATATATTTTTGTTAGGTGAATAATTCTATTAACTGTAAGATAATTGTATTAGTCACATGTATTTATTTTAAGAGTTAACTATTGTTGAATGCTATGTTTTATTCACTATATAAATTATGAATTGATGCATTAAGTGAAAAATTTCTAACTTAATGATAATATGATGTTATATTGGTTAATATGGGCTAACCAATTAATCAAACCGATTAAACTTTAGTGTGGTTTATTTGGTTGTGGTATTAGGATGACAAATCAAACAAGACGTTACTTTAGAGCGAGTTTTAGTGGAACCCGACAAACATGGATTGGGGTATAGTCTTCGGTCGGGGTGGGTTGGGTGTGGTTCGGTTGGGTTTAGTTGGTTGGTTTATTTAATTTATTATTTTTTATTTGTTGACGTGGTATGCTGATTGTGCTCAGTTGATGAATTTTTGGATGGAAATGAGCGGAATGACCAATTTGTTATTTGTCCAAACATGTTTTATTAAAACGTATAAAATTATACTTTGATAACTATTTTGTATTAAGTGAATTGTGTGACCATTTATGATAATTACCAATACATTCGTGTCAGAAGTTCCATTTTGTTTTCCCAATCGATAATTATTTTGTACCAAGTGAATTGTGTGACAATTTAGGATAATTATCAATACATTCGTACCAAAAGTTTTTTTTTTTATGATCGATAAAAAAAAACTTTTGGTACGAATGTATTAATTATCCTAAATTGCCACACAATTCACTTGGTACAAAATCGATAAAAAAAAAACTTTTGGTACGAATATATTGATAATTATCCTAAATTGTCACACAATTCACTTGGTATAAAATAGTTATCAAAGTATAATTTTATACGTTTTAATAAAACACGTTTGCCAGAAGTTCTACTAATGATGGCATTTCAGTTTGCCACTTTGCCTTCATTCGTTTTGCTACGTTCGTCCTCCGTTTCCTGTTATGATTTAGCCACATCCCACAGGTCACAATTCCCTTCTTCTGCGCGTTCCCAATGGCGGCTTCCACACTCTCACTCGCTCTCACTCCCTCCCCATCAGATCCATCACTTCCCTCTTCCCGCCACAGATCACTACTCTTCCTTTCCCCTCTCAATCACAATCACCATTTCCTCTTATCTCACAGGTCCCGATTTCGCCTCAGCCCTCAATCATCCTGCTCCTCTGCCTCCTCGTCGGAGTCTCCTCTTTGCTTGGCCGGTGAATCTACTAGCAGCAGCGCCTCCGCTGCCTATTCGAGGCTAGAGGACTGGTTGAAGACAGGGAATTACAATTTCCTCAGCAACGAGGAGCTTCTCAAGCTCCAGAGCCTTCAGGACTTTCGGTATCGGCGGGAATTGAGAACCGGGTCGCTTTGCATTCGGGTGATGAGGCCGGACGAGACCGATGTAACAGTGAAGTTGCTCTCCGAGTCCTTTGTGGAGTCCATGATGCTGCCCGATTGGTACTTGCCTTTGATTAGTTATTTGGTGAAGCAGTACTTGATGGAGAGGCGGGCCGCGATTCCCCATGCCGTTACGCTTCTAGGGTTCGTTAAATGGAAAGACGGCGGCAGCGGGGGCGGAGAGGAAGAGGCGGCGGAGGCAGAGGGGGAGGACGATGAGGAAGGGGAGTTAGCAGGGACTGTGGAAATTTGTTTCCATAAGAGAGGGGCAAATGATTCTCCTCCCACGCCAACAGCGCCGAAGGACTCTCCCTATATCTGCAACATGACTGTTAACAAGCCACTCCGTAGGTAACTAGTTCCAAATCTCATCGGCTCTTCTTGCATTGAGCTGGTAGTAAGAAAGCTTATAATTGTACAAATTGTTTCCTGCCTTTAGCTTTGGTAATGTAAAAGTTCCGATCTTGTTGGTTTAAATTGTCCAAATTGAGGTAGCTTTTAGGAGACACGGTTAGGGACTGACATTTATATGTTAGATGGCCTTCTTGAATCTTGAGCATGAAGTGAAAAAAAGGACGAGGGTGATGGCGCAAGAAAGCGGACTGTGTGGTTACTTTCTCTTTTCTGGCTTCCTCAATCTGAAGTTATAAATTGCATCCATTGTGGGTCATATAATCTGAGTTAAATGCTCTGTTGAGAAGGCTAGTGGTGTCATCAATTTGCTGGTTTTGGTTGCTTTTATGCTATTGAGTTAGGCGGTGGAATTCGTATTATGGTTCATCTTGACCATGAACCTACTACGGATAGTGATTGGTTGACTGTATCTCTACCGTTCTCTAGCTTCCTCAGTCCAAAGATATTAATAGATTCAGTTGTGAGTGATGGACACGAGTTAAACTCTCCGTTTGGAACATTTGTGTGGTATTTGGTATTCTTGAATTTCATGTATTTTGCCATTTTCGTGCATCTCGCATTGCTGGTAGGTTGATGGATTGGATTGAAACCAACTTGATCTCCTGTTGTGTGTATTTGTAACTTTCAGGAGGGGAGTCGGTTGGAATCTTTTGAAAGCAAGCGAGGAGTTAATTTCTCAGATGAGCTTTGTAAGAGAGGTGTATCTGCACTGCAGGATGGTTGATTCAGCGCCCTTTAACATGTACATGAGAGCAGGGTATAATGTTGTTAAGACAGATGGCATATTGGTATTGCTGCTGTTGCAAAGTCGTAAACATTTGATGCTGAAGAAGCTTCCGTTACCAACCAACAACGTAGAACTTGACATGCCAGGCTCTGACCCTGAACATGTACAAGTGGGAGCATAAGTTGCAGCATATGTTTCTGAGGTACATGCGTAGACACAATAACATCTGTTCCATTTTGTGCACTTCTTTTTCTTAATTTCTTCTGTTCAATCTCCTGAAAATGTAATGTTAACTGTGTGCAGTGAGTGTGTCTTATTGCATTTGCATATCAAGAGTTTTCTCTGGATCTTCGAAGGTCTGAGATTGTTCTGCTCATCCAGTGACTTGATTCCGGCAGGTCTATCTGCTGGTCCAGATCTTCAGATCATCGTTGCTGGTATGTACTTAGTTATATTTGTGCTAGGAACCTGCTCTTCTGCAGTCAATTGCACGAGGCAGCATTAATTTCTTGCACCGCACTGCACTGCAGTGTAATCATGCCTAGTGGTAGTTGTATCGGAATGTTCTTCTAACCTTATGAAAGTCTGCTGGACAGAATATCTTCAACAAGATGATACTAAAGCAACAAATCTTGTGCCCCCAGAGTTGAAGAGATGATGTGAGAGAGGATGGATTGATTTCTTGTATGTGCACGGCAAAGCATATATGGCATTTAACTGTGGCAAGGAGAAATGTTGATGGTATGGGAGCAATGTGCACGGAAAAACTCATAATTTATGCCGTTTCTTCCATTGCTCTCAGTTTGTTGTATGTATCATGCACAATTAGGTTTTCTATTAATAAGAGGAAGAGAGGAAGAAAACATCTTCATTGTTTAGAATGCACAGTTGCCCTCTTGTGTTTAATAAATAAGGAAGAACTTTATGATAGAATTTTGAATGAATTCCCTCCCATGCCTGAGCCCTTTGAGTTATTTGTATAGATAATCACTTGGAGTTCTTTTACACATTCAGCCATGGAAGGTCTCTCACTGCTTTCTGTCCGTACGCAGCGTGATGCCAAGTTAGCAAACATGGCTACAGATTCCAGTGAGTACGAGCTCCGTGGCATATCTGGATCGATCACTCTTCTCAGCTTCTTCCGATCGTTCAGTATGTGCCTAACCTAAAAAGCGCAAGACCCTCCATTAAAGCAAATAGTGAGTCTCCAGAACTTATGCTTTTAGAAAGAAAACTGTTCTGGAGGTTGAATTTTCCCACCTGCAGAACTAGGTTTTGATCAGTTGGTCCTTGGTTTAGGTCAACAGCTCGACGTCCTGTCAATAGCTCAAGAAGAACCACTCCAAATGCGTAGACATCACTTTGTAGAGTGAGCTTTCCTGTCTGCAGAAAAAGGAGCAAAATGAAATCCTCGTTTCTTTCTAGCTAGTTAAACTACCAGAACAAGAATAGGTATGTTAGAGCTGGTCCTTTTGGTTGGTTGGTGGTGTCCCTACTGCAGCAAACCTAAAGGAGGGTTTTGCTCAGTTTTCCAGTTTTAGTTATCAGGTTGGTCTTACTCTAGCTTATTACTACAGAGGGAATTTAGAACACCTACTGATGTGTACTCTGGATCAAAATAGCCAAATGTTCCCAGAACCATAGCAGTTGCGTAGATCTCCTGGCCCTCTGGCATCAACTTAGCCAAACCGAAATCAGAAATCTGCAAGGACATAAGATGTTCATTGATACCATTCTTATTTCAGGTCCTCTCTCCTTCTGAACATGTAAAAAGAAAGGAGTGGACTTTGTTCACCTTGGCTTCAAAGTTCGCACCGAGAAGAACGTTGGTGGATTTAAAGTCTCTGTGAACAATGGGTATACCAACGGCAGACGGTGAATGGAGATAAGCAAGTCCTCGTGCTGCTCCAATGGCCACTCTTAGTCTTTGTGTCCAGTCCATCTTTGCTTCCCCTATTCCTGCAATGAAAATAGCAGATAACTTGATCAACAACTGAAAAGGGTTTAAGCATTCACTCTAAACTGGACGATGAGTGCCAAAGTACCATTCAAGTGATCTTGCAAATTCCCTTTTGGCAGGTACTCATACACAAGAAACCTCTGCTTCCTATCAGCACAATACCCTATCAGCGAAACCAAATTTGGATGATCCAGTCTGCTCAAGATATCGACTTCGACACGAAACTCTCTTTCCCCTTCAGCTTCTCTAAACGAAGGTAACTCCATCTTCTTGATTGCTACTACCTGCAAAAGTCAAAACCCACCTTCTTCTTCTGCTTGAGATGTGGGTTCACTTGTACTCTTATTATGAAACTTGACCACTTGATTGAACTGCATAGTGTGTTTACCTCTCCAGATCGCAGAGTTCCTCTGTACACTCTGCCAAACCCTCCTTTACCAAGAAAGTTTCCATCACTAAACGAGCAAGTAGCGTCCTCCATTTCCTTGAGAGTAAAGACCGATGATCCATGGTGTCGCTTCGTGGGTTGGGTTGTTCGATCTTCTAGCTTCCAGTACTCGACAGGCCTGTATACCCCTGGAAATCACATAGAGATGAAAACAGTTTCCAAGCTACATAACTTCAAGTTGCAGGAAGGATGATTTCCACAGGAGGGGAGGAATACATACAGGGGTCACTGTGATCCTGGGACTTGCTTCTCCTTCTCTTGTTCCAAGCAGAAACCAGCCCGAAAGGCATAGTTATTCTTCCTCCCCCTCCTTCCCCGGAAATGCAAAAGAAAAGAGAAGAAAAGAGCAGAAAACCAAAAGCAAGCTTTGGCTTTAAGGATTCAAATCCTGAAACAGTGTTAGGAGAAATGAGCAAATGGCTAGAGAGAGGGGAGGATTTGAGGTCTCATCAAGAAGTGTGTGTTTTGATTGATTCTCTGACAAGTGAGAAGTCACCAGACTGAAGATCAGTTTGATTGCGATTAAAGTGAAGGGAAGGAAGCATATGTAAAAAAGGGTAGGTGAGGAAGGAGAATCCTCGGATGAGTACGTATGGAGCAAGTGAAAGGTGGTAGCTTCAGGACAATGTACTCTTGAACTACAGGACAGAGAAATGTGCTTGCAGAGAACGTTAAGAAATCTGCAGAAAAGGAGGAAGAAAGCAAGGTGGGTAAAATGGCAGGCGGGAGATGTGGATGGCTAGGACGTAAATGTGTGGAATTGTTGTATTGTTTGCTTCTGCTGAAGCTCAAGAAACTTGAATCAGGCAGGAGAAAAGGGTGTAGCCGTTGGGAAGCAGCTTTCATTTGGTATTTCAACCATTTTTCTGGTTTGTTTGGAGGTTTTTCGTTTTTTGCTGGTGGCGCATTCTTTTTTAAATTCCTTTTCTTCCCCCATCTTTTGACGTATTAACCATCACCATTATTTTCTGCATGGTTATTGGTTACCAAAGAGTAGGTTAGGGAAGAGAAAGAAGGTTGTGCATAAATTTACGGGTCTTAAAATTAGAACTTCTGAGTCAAATTTTGTTACTACAACGATTGGATCAAACCTATGTCGACAAATAATAGTGTTGTTTTTGTTTGAAGATAGCCGACTGTAACTTTTTTTCAATTTCATGTTCGATTAGGGTTAGATCTTCTGAAGAAGGTTCTATATACATATCTTTTCAACCTCTGTAATCTGCATTTCTTCAAGTATAGTGAAAGTGACCTCTCCTGTCATTAAAATAGCTAACATGCATTGTATTAATGAAATGAGTGAATATATACTATATAAGCACCTTACTTTCCTTTTTCTATTATGTTCTAATAAATGAAAATTTAAACATTTGTGAAACTTGAGGTTGGTTTGGTTTTGCTAGTAGTTAAATTGATACATTGTCATCAATGCATGCATGATAATATAAATGTATATAAGAAAATTGGTGTATTGTAGTTTACATCGTTTGGTTTCTGTGATAGTTATTGACTTATTGTAGTATTTAAATAAGTTATATTACTTTTTGAGTGAAATGTTGCTTTTACCCTTTGTTTTTAATATAAAGAAGCAACACAGATAAAAAGGTAGGGACATAATTGGAAGAAAGAAAAAACTCAACAATCTCAATGAAACAATCTCAACATTCTCACAAAAAACTTGAGATTAATTATCGCTCATTTTGAGTGATAGTTTGTGTCACATCAATCAAACAATGCATGTATTATTTGTGATGAAATTTAAAAAAAACAATGCATTGTAGACAATATATGCATTGTAACTATCCCAACCAAACTATCATCAAAATTAAACGTCCCTTGCGTCCGGGCGGTTCGGAGTCCGGACAAGGACAAAGAGCTGCACCATTATTATTTGTTGTCGTCATTATTATGTTATATCTTTATACTGTAAGGTGACAACTGACAAGTAATGACAAGTGACGACTAGTGAATGGTGATGTGTAAGGTTAGGAGTTTGGTCTGTTATTTCTGGATGCATAAGCAACTTATTTGAACTTGAAATATGATCCAAGAGAGAAGAAGAGAGCTTGCTTGTTCATTGCTCTTAATCAAACCTTCTTTCTCTCCCCTTTTTAATTAAGAAGTTACTTAAATTGCATTTCAATAGAATCGGTACAGCAAAAAGTGTTATACAATACGGTCCGACAACAGGTTAAGAATAGTAATCTAGCCGTTTTGGAAGTTACATTTCGAGAAAAGGATTGGACAATTTTGATGTGCTCTTACGCGCTAACTGAGTCTTGCTGTTTGGGCCGGTACCAATAGGCCCATGTGGCCGAGCCCGAGCGCACACACCAGTGAGCAGTGACACCACCTCCCCTTCGCTACGGATTTTCCAGTCATCGACCGCCGTTCACGTCTCCGATGAATCCTTCAATCTCCCATAAATCACTTGACGCGCGCGGATTTTCCGTCCGGTTTAGACTGCTACCAACCGATGAGAAGTGCCACATTCAATCTCTCTGGCGATGTTGTATCCCCGACGGCCGGAAGATCGGCGGCCAAGGGTCAGGCGAGCAGAAGGGTTCGACCTCCATTTTCATGCAGTGATCTTTTGGCCGGTAAGACTTGATTACATTGACAGTCGTTGCTGAGGTACTATGCGTCAGTCATTCTAGATTCTGGTTGTTGAAGTTTAACTTATCTGTTCTTTCTGATAAGTCAAGTCAATATCGAATATGATAAACTCATCTCAATCTTCCATGCCTTCTATATGTTTGGTAAAATGCCCCTTTCATATAGTGTTCCAATATTTCAAGGCTGAGAAAAGCTCGTCAATCGCAATAAACCCGGAATTGTCAATGAATGAACTCCTTTAAGTATGCCTCTTTTGTTTCTCATTTCTGATCACACATTTAGGGACAATTGCCCACTCATTCAGATGATCCTATCTACCTAAACTCCTCCACTATTTCAATTCTGCCAAACCAAGCAGAAGTTTTCATTCGGAAACCGAGGGGGGAGAGGTATCTTGAGAGAAGTGGGTTGAAAAAAAAAAATTATGAAATTGCCAAAGTATGTTGTTTTGAAGTCCATGTATAACAACAAGTACTTGCGCTACAGGGATGAAGGAGGGGAGCAACAGGGCTTTTTGCAGTTCTCCGGAGATGCTGCTGCAAGTCCTTACTCTAAATTTGAGGTGAAGGTCTCGAGCAGCAGGAGTGGATTGATTCACCTCAAGTGCTGTGTCAATAAGAAGTACTGGGTACGGAGTTCTCCCAGTCAGTGGTGGATTCGTGGAGCAGCTGATCGACCTGAAGAAGACCAATCTAAATGGTCATGTACGCTGTTTAAGCCCGTGTCTATTGATGGCGACGTGAAAACAGTTCGGTTTCAGCACGTCCAGCTTAATCACTATGCTTGCTTGTTCAGGAGCGGGCCTCCATTTGGTGACTGCTTGTACGCAGGATGGGAAGCTGTCAACCACGACTTGTGTGATGCTTGTGCAGTCATCGATTGGGATTATCTGTCCACTAGAATTCAGAAACGAGTTTCCTCCCCGTCTCATAATCGAACAACACTGCCGAAGTTCGTGGTGCTCAAATCGAGTTATAATGGCAAGTACTTGCGTTACAGACATGAAGGTGGCGAGCAGCATGGGTTCCTCCAGTACTCTGAAGACAAGGCTACGAGTCAACATGCGAAATTCGAGGTGAAGATGGCCAAATCCTGTGACGGATTAGTGCACCTGAAGTGCTGCTACAACAACAAATACTTGGTTAGGTGGTCTCCTAAACACTGGTGGATTCGTGGGGCAGCTGACCGGCCTGAGGAAGATCGATCCAAATGGTCATGCACGCTGTTCAACCCCGTCTATGTGAATGGTGATCCTGCAACAGTTCGGTTTATGCATGTTCAGCTTGGACACTATGCTTGTTTGTTTAGAAGCGGACCACCATTCGGGGACTGCTTATATGCTGGCTGGGAGGATCCTAATCAGGATTTGTGTGATGTATGTATGATCATTGATTGGGACTCGTTAGCCCAGTCATACAAGGATGAACAATATGAAGATGGAGATTTAACAGATCAGTCTGTGGAGGATGAGGAAGTGGAAGTGCCTCAGCCAAGTCGAGTAAATGTAAGGCAGGGAGGATCCAGTAAAGCCAGCCATGGCAGTGGTGCTCCTTCGTTGAAAAAGTATTTTAGGGATGAAGGCGAAGATGAAAATGATGGAGATCAATTTGCCAACGAGGGAACCAGTAGGACTCAGCCCAGCCGCAAGACCACTCAAAAGTTCAGATCCGGTGAACAAGGAGGTGAAGTTATTGGAGGTCAAGAGGAAGCTGATAAGACTCGCCCCAGCCGAATGAGCGGGCAACAGTCAAGACCTAGTAATGTTACTCGTAGCATCAATGTCCCTGGAAAAGGGTATAACCGGGATCAAGATGATGATGATGGAGAAAGCTCCGAGGATGAGGAAATTAAGAAGACTCTGTCCAGTTGGAAAAAGAACCAATTTGGTGGAGTTTGTCGTGGTAGTAATCATACTGGAAGACAGTATGGGCGGGAGGACAATGAAGATGATGGACCTTGGTACGACGAGAAAATTGCTGGGACTCGGCCTAGTCATAGGAACGACCAGCAGCCAATATATGGTAATCCTCTGGATGAAAAGTATGGCCGGGATGAAGATGAAGACAAGACTATCCCGAAACCTACCCGACCGCCAAAAGGTCAGGCTACATCCAGCAAGCATGTTTTGTATGAAGATGAAGAAGACGATGTTGGATCAGCGGAGGGGGAAAGCACTATGACTCACCGTCGTGGTGGAAACATCCAGCAACCAAAGTATGGCAAGCCGAGGCGTGGCAGTAATGCTCCAAATAGTTATGGTCCGGATGCAGATGAATACTACATTGGTGGTTATCGGTCAGCAGAGGAAAGCACTATGACACAGCCTCAATGGGGAAATATCCAGCAACCGAAGTTTGGCAACGTGAGGCGTGACAGTAATGCTCCAAGTAAGTATGGCCAGGATGAAGAAGAAAACTACAATGTCAGGTATCAATCAGCAGGGGAGAGAAGCACTACCAGTCGGCCCATCCGGGGAACCACCCAACAGCCAGGGTTCAGTAACAATAGGAGATATGGAAACGATGGAATAAGTAACGATCTCAGCAGCTTTTACAACAACTTAGCAGACCACAAGCGTGAAGTGCCAAAGGAGGAAAGGTAAATGCTTGGAATGCTTTTTGCATACTAAGAATTGTTTTTTTTTTTGTTTCTCACTATTTAGACTTAGAATTCTTCCCATCAGTTTCATTTCAATTTTTCAATCATATAGATCCCCTTTATGTGTCTCTCCTTGCCTGGTTGCAGTGACCAAGTGGAGTTCACAGTTGTGTCATCTGCAAATGATTTCTGGGGAGCTATCTTTGCCTCCACAGACATACTCCCGAAAGCCCTCCCTGATTTGTACACTGCGATTACCGTAGTTAGTGGTGATGGGTTCAGCGAAGGCTCTGTTCGTGAAATCACTTTTGCTCGAGGTAAAGTGTGCAGTCATTTTATGATTTTATCTAAGCAATGCCAATCTCAGACATACGGTCGTCAAATCTGAATGAACTACTAGAACGCAACATGACTTCATTCTTTGAATTCCACCATTGTCAGTTGGGTTTTCTTTTCAGTTTTGTGTTTTTTTGTGCTGGCTTTGCAGGCAAGCAGACTCCGTGGCAGAAGTTGGAGGAGCAGATAGTTTATGTAGATCATGAGAAGAAGACGGTGACATGGTCGGTTATACAAGGTGGAATGCTGAATTACTATGACACTTTCAAGGTCACTGTGGCGGTTACTCCGAAGAAGCGTCCCAAACGCAGGGGAAGCACAGTGAACTGGAGCTACCATGGTACAAATCCAAGGGGTTTTGACAGGGAAGCCTTGAAAAGGTTTGTCAAGATGAGCTTCGATGATTTAGATGCTTATCTCGAGAAGATGCCAGACATGGAGACCCGCTAGCTGCCGTGATTGTCTGCTTAATGTTGGTAATGTTATTTTGGTCGAATAATTTAAGTTTATGGTGAGACTTCATGTTATCGAAACATTTGCTGGTACATGTTATGAAGCATTACTCATCTCTTGAAAGAAATAATGATGAATGAAGCAAGAGTTATGACATAAACCTGACCCAATCCAACACGAAAAGTGGGATGGGATCCTCTTATTATCTTAAAAAC